TTGCATAGAGCGACGTTTTGATCTAGATTCTTACATCGTTATCAGCTCGTTATTACTGCTTAAGCCCCCTTGTTTATTGGTTTCGTTTCCAGTCTCTTGTTGTTCTTAGTCTCCCACTGGCCTCTCATAATTATGTACCAGTTGTTATTCAATTACAATGTACATGTTGTTAATGTTAATCTGCTGTTGTCAAAACATACTGTGTATATATACTCCTCTGCATCTGGTTGTATTCACTTTTAGCTTGAGAACGATGTAAGAATCTACATCGAAACGTCGCTCTATGCAATAAATAAGAAGTTGTCATCTATAAAGTTGTACGTTTCATTTTTAGTTGTACGTTGTTGACGCTAACAACGTGTAGTGACCAGATGTCCCAACAAATGTCCCACTTGGAAAGGGACACCCAATGACCACAATGCGAAGAGGTCACGCCTTCACACTAAGAGACATTACGAGTTTTTTTTTTAGATATATTAATCAAAAAGATTATGCATATAGACATTTATTCATAGATATTAACACTTTTTTATTTACTTATATGGTCACCATTCATTACGTATTTTCTACTAATCTATATTTATTTGCATATTAATGAAGTTGTTATTCATATTTGATTAGTGTATTTAATTAAAGCTCTACTTTCTGAGGCACCAAAATGTTTGCTCATGTAGAACAGAAGATGATCTTTTAAAATGTTTTAATCTCTAAAATGTTTAACGTCACATAGGAAATTTAATATTTAACGTCACATGGGCAATGTTTCAGCCTTATCGTGACGAGAATTTGAATATAAATATATATTTGGATAAAGAAACCTGTCATCTAAGGACAGTAGAATAACGAGATTATCACAGGTATAAGTTAAAACTAGTTGATAACATTTAAAAGAATAAATTAATAATCAACAACTCATTATAAAAATGGGCTATAGGTCGCCAGTAACTTAAGGGATATCACTATACCAGAGACCATGAGGTCTTACAGTACTTTTGTTACCTGTATGGACCCTAGCTATAGCTGGATTAACACAATGTTGAATGTCAGAAGGTTTATCGAACGAAATCATTTACGAAGTCGATAAATATAAGACAACGTTTGCAAAGACTTCTAAATGTACGTAATCAGTTCCAGAAAATTAAGTTAGATATTATATCAAATGGAACACAACAGTCTTTCAGCATCACGATGTATGAGGTGTTGTTTACTGTCGCTACCATGGTCGTCCGATCCATCCAATCAGTGATATAACATTCAAATTGTTTTGGTTATAACTAATTATACCAAAAGTTGCATTTTTTTTTTGAAAACGAGAACTTAAGTGTTTTCGCACCCCTCCAAAAATATTGATCACATTATAAAAATAATTATTTCATTATGAAGAATATATACAAGACTGCCAGTGGTATGGACGGTCACCCTACTACTCTGCCAACCACTCGACATGAATGAAGTGCCTAAAATCAACAATGGCTGCTGCGGGTGGTTGCATTTGTGTGCCGAGAAAATGGACCGATACTTTTTAAACTTGTTTCTATTTTAGGTACCCAAACTACTTAAAATTTATACATTTAGAAAACTGAGCATTTTTGCATACAATAGATTTTTCAAATGCTACGTCAATACTGCTTGTGAATAGTTTTTGCAAGTTAAGTTTGGGGATGTCTACTACTTTATTGTCGAAGGGGTTTGACACCAGCTGGGAGAGAATTAATTGTTTCCTTCATTCCTAGCACTTTCAGCTGATCTGCCCCTCGTTGGGACTCGTGTAAGTGAGAGAGTGAGTATGAGTTGGGTTTTTCGCCGCTTTTGGCAATATTCCAGCAAAATCACCACGACGGACACCAGAAATGGGCTTCACACATTGTACCCATGTGGCAATCGAACCCGGGTCTTCGACATGGTGAGCGAACGTTTTAACCACTAGGCTATCCCACCGCTCCGTGTAAGAGTTAGGTACACATGCATATTGGGAGTTTTTGTATTTAAAAAAATGCTCTTCATGACATAAGTTTACCTGTAAAATGTAGAAAGAAAAATTTTTACTGTACATTTGTCGATTCTGAGAAAGCGTTCGACAGTGTCTGGAGATTAGGCTTATGGCGTAAATTGTACAAGGAAAGTTCATTCGTGTTATTGACAATATGTATTACGGTATTAAATCATTATCAGTTCACGCCTCAGTTACGGACTATTTCCCTTGTAATACAGGAGTAAGACAAGGTGAGAACCTGTTACCTATACGCTTTAGTTTATTATTATTGACTTTCTTCGGATCACGTGGTAGTGAAGGGATAACTCACTGGATATTTTAACCGATGTATCAGCTGTACTATTTGTTTTACTCTGTGCTTAAGTCTGCCATAATCCATACAGGTTTAAACTAAGTTGGTGAATCTCGCTGATTTATCGGTAACTTCACGGGCAGGTTTTAATCATAGGTCTGCCATAATCCATACAGATTTCAACGAAGTTAGTGAATCTCGCTGATTTATCAGTAACTTTGCCATAATCCACACAGATTTACACTAAGTGAATACCATCGGTTTATCCATAACTTCATGGACAGATAAACTTTTCTAATTTAGTTCCACTGGCACTTCCAAATAGCATTGGGTTTTGCTATCATCATATATACGAAAGAAGTACGCATTACTTGCCCAGCTGTCTCAGGTAGAGTTCGTTGGCTGCGAAATCGTACCGATACAATGGCACATGAATGTACATTCGAAAGCAACAATCGTCTTAAATGGCATCAACTTTGTTGATTTGTCCTTACCAACTGGTCACCAAAATTTCAGAAATCGGCAACAAGAGAAAACAAACAAACGACCATATAATTGTGATATATTCTACCATGACTTCAGTAAATACTGGATTGTGATTGGTTAATGAAAGTAATATACCTCTGATTTTCCAACACAGTTTGTACTTTTTAAAAATCTTAATAACGCGGTTATGATAGAATGGAGATAAATATACTGTTTGGAAAATCAGAGGTATGAAACGTAATTATAATAGCTCTAAATTTGATTTAAGACCGAACGCGAACGCGAACCTTTTGAAATTCTGTCGCCCTGCCCTTTTTTAGATCTTAGGGGAGACACTAGCAGCCATACTAAAACTGTCACTCATAACATAACTCATAACAGTTCAGCTGAAGGACACCCAGTCATCTCAGGCATCAACTTTATTGCCAATCACCAATCACCTAATCTGAAAATTAAGGTGAAATATAAAGTACACAACAATATGAAATGACATGATTGACTGTCACAATGACTTTATTTGATTATCTCAGAACCTGTATTCGTAAGTAAGTACAAAACATGACCTAGTGACGAGGTATCCTGATTGTTCTCACCAAGAGGATTCTCAAATTGCACATTTTCCCAAACTTGGACACACACTGTACCACAATGTGAAACAAATGAAATACCAATAAACGTTGGGCCATGTTAAAACAGTGTCTGATCTTCAGACACTGGCTGAAATCACGATCCTGACAATGAAAAGGTCACAAATACACTGCTCGCCACAATATATAACCCGATAATCCAAATGTGACCAGTATTCTTGTTTCCGGTCTAGTTCATTACACAAACCCTCCAAAGGCATCACGTGGAGTAAAGCTCTTTATCTTGTGTCACATCATCAGAAATTCGCTGGTTTCTATACACCATGTTCCTTCATCGGCCTTGAATATGTACAACCTCATTGCAGTGAATTTGCAGTTTATAACCATTGTTCTCAACAGGTAAAATGTTAAATTCAGGGATGTTACATGACACTCAGGAGTTTAAACAATATTTCAGAGACTTCATATAATATCAGTAGAATTTTATTATCTGTACCAGTTCTGGCAACATTGTAATGGGAAGGTCTCTTGCTAGGGACATAAGAGTAATTTGCATTTGACGATGTACACATGGAAATGTGTAGAATGAGGAAATTCTAATGACAAATGTTTTCTGCACATTTCAGTAGACTTGACTTATAAACTTAGTGTATTTTCAGGAACACGTATGCCAGCCAGAGATATGGGAAGTTTGTTTGTAACACAGAACCATTGTTAATGTACAGAGTTCATCTAACTTTCATACACAGTTTCTTTTTGTTCTGTGACACAAAAGGCGGTGGGGTAGCCTAGTGGTTAAAAATCTTGCTCGCCACGCCAAAGACTCGGGTTCGATTCTGGACATGAGTACAATCTATGAAGTCCAATTCTGGTGTACCCTGCCATGATATTGCTAAAAGTGGTGTAAAACTAAACTCACTCACTCACTCTGTGACACAAAATGTGTGGACACAGGTTATATTTGATCTTCTGCAACCCATGCATGTTGTAAGTGATGATTGAAGGGATCAGATGGTATGGCTTGCTCACTTAGCGAACACATGTCATTGTATCCTAAGTTTGTAGATCTTTTCAGATTGTGTACCTAGGTTGGAATATTGCTGAGAGCAGAGTCAAACAACAAACAAACTTGACCAAATGGACACAGAGGCCCAGATAAGCTGCGCATCCGGGTAAAATACGCATGGAAAATTTCCAATTACGCATTGAAAAATAATTGTTGCGTACCAATTACGCATTTAAAATGTTACATACGCAAAATGTTTAAAACAAAGGCGTACGGAATATATTTATAAAAACCGCTTGCGTAATGAAAAAGGCATCAATTGCTATCAAGTTGTACTGATAGTATAGGACTAGTGTTGTACTGTCAGTATAGAATGAGCTATTTTTTATGAAATCATTTCCATTATATTTAAGTTGGTTTTGATTAGGTATGACATAAGGCAGAACATACCTGCTTAGTAAACTTACTCAATGACATAATACTTGATGAGTAAAATGACTGAAATACACACATATTTGAAAGCAGTGGGTAACGGAAAATGAAATACCCACTCAACATTCATAATAACCACTCCAAAAAATACAGTGGGTACAGTACCCACATGAGCTAAATCTTATCTGGAGCTCTGTGGAAATGTGTCATGACTTCACTGCATATGAGCTGTATATATTCATGGTAACGGAGGAACACATTGTACTGGCAAAGACTGATGGAGTATTGACTACACAAGGACGTTTTGTGCTGTTGGATCGTATTTCCTTGACATGTCCTACATCAAGGGTCAAGGTCATCATGTTGTGGAGAGGGCTTTCATCCGCTTTTTTATCTCTTCTTTCCGATGCTTGAGTTGCTCCATCCTGACCTTGTTCATTTCCAGCCTGTTCTCCAGGCTCTGCAGCAACGGCCCTCCCATCACGTCCATGATGTGGCACTCGGACTTGGTGTACACTGAAACAGTCAAGTTGTACACTGAAACACTGATGTTGTGCACTGAAACACTCAATTAGCACACTGAAACATTGATGTTGTACACTGAAACACTCAATTAGCACACTGAAACGCTGATGTTGTACACTGAAACACTCAATTAGCACACTGAAACAGTGAAGTTGTACACTGAAACACTCAAGTTGTACACTGAAAAACAGAATACAAACAGTATAAGTGAAACATTGAAGTTTACACTAAAATATTAAAGCTGTGCACGCTAAAACATTGAAGTTGTACACTAAAACATTGAAGTTGTACACTAAAACATTGAAATTGTGCACTAAAACATTGAAGTTGTACACTAAAACACTGAAGTTGTGCACTTAAACACTAAAGTTGTGCACTAAATCATTGAAGTTGTGCACTAAAAACACTGAAGTAATATACTGGAACAGTGACGTAGTACACTGAAACATTAAAGTAGTACACTGAAACACAGTCGTCAAACACTGAAACGTTGAGTGTGTACACTGAAACATTGAAGGCAACACTAAAATGCTGAAGTAATATACTGGAACAGTGACGTAGTACACAGAAACATTAAAGTAGTACACTGAAACACAGTCGTCAAACACTGAAACATTGAAGGCAACACTAAAATGCTGATGCTATACATAGAAACATTGAAGTTGTAGAATGAAACATTGAGGGTAACACTGAAACATAGAAGGTAACAGTGAAAAATTGAAGGTAGAATGGTGAAATATGAGAGTCCCATCATGGTGTGTGTCACTGATGATTTCAACTGAAAGACTAGGGCAATAACACTGAGAGGCAACGGAAACAAGGGAATTTACACTGAAACAAGGGAATTTACAGAGAAACAAGGGTATTTACACTGAAACAAGGGTATTTACACAGAAACGAGGGTATTTTCACTGAAACAAGGGTATTTACACAGAAATAAGAGTATTTAGACAGAAAGAAGGGTATTTACACTGAAAAAAGGGTATTTACAGAGAAACAAGAGAATTTACACAGAAACAAGGGTATTTACACTGAAACAAGGGTATTTACACTGAAACAAGGGTATTTACACAGAAACGAGGGTATTTACACTGAAACAAGAGAATTTACACAGAAACAAGGGTATTTACACTGAAACAAGGGTATTTACACAGAAACGAGGGTATTTACACTGAAACAATGGTATTTACACAGAAATGAGGGTATTTACACTGAAACAAGAGAATTTACACAGAAACAAGGATATTTACACTGAAACAAGGGTATTTACACAGAAACGAGGGTATTTACACAGAAACAAGGGTATTTACACTGAAACAAGGGTATTTACACAGAAACAAGGGTATTTACACTGAAACAATGGTATTTACACAGAAATGAGGGTATTTACACTGAAACAAGAGAATTTACACAGAAACAAGGATATTACACTGAAACACTTTACACATGGAAACACAGAAACAAGGGTATTTACACACAGGGAAACAAGGGTATTTACATTGAAACAAGGGTATTTTACACAGAAATGAGGGATATTTACACTGAAACAAGAGAATTTACACACAGAAAAAGGGAATTTACACAGAAACAAGGTTCTAGGAAGAAACAGGGAATTTACACAGAACAAAGAGTATTTACACAGAAACAGAGATTTACACAGAAACAAGGTTATTTACACAGAAAGAAGGGAATTTACACAGAAACAAGGGAATTTACACAGGAATTTACACAGAAACACAAGGGTATTTACAGAGGGACAAGGAAAAGAAATGGATTTACACAGAAACAAGGGAATTGACACAGAACAAGGGTATTTACACAGAAACAAGGGGGTGTCACTGAAAGGAAATAGATTTACACTGAAACAAGGGAATTTACACAGAAACAAGGGTATTTACACAGAAACGAGGGAATTTATTTACACTAACACAACGGAATTTACACAGAAACAGGGGATTTACACAGAAACAGGGATTTACACTGAAACAAGGGAATTTACACTGAAACAAGAGAATTTACACAGAAACAAAGGGTTTTACACAGAAACAAGGAAAGGAAATAGATTTATACCGAAACAAGGGAATTTACACATAAACAAGGGAATTTACACAGAAAAACAGGGGGTATTTACACAGAAACAGGGGTATTTACACAGAAAGAAGGGTATTTACACAGAAACAGGGGATTTACACAGAAACAAGGGAATTTACACAGAAACAGGGGTATTTACACAGAAAGAAGGGTATTTACACAGAAACAGGGGATTTACACAGAAACAAGGGAATTTACACAGAAACAAGGGTATTTAGACAGAAACAAGGGAATTTACACTGAAACAAAAACACAGAAACAAGGGAATTTACACAAGGGTATTTACAAAAACAAAGGAATTTACACAGAAACAAGGAGAAATTTACACAGAAACAAGGGAATTTACACAGAAACAAGAAACAAATTTACACACAGAAACAAAGGGGAAATTTACACAGAAACAAGGGAAAAATTTACACTGAAACAAGGGAATTTACACTACACAGAGAAACAAGGGAGATTTACACAGAAACAAAGGAATTTACACAGAAACAAGGGAATTTACAGAAACAAGGGAATTTACAGGAAACAAATTTACACAGAAACAAGGAAAGGAAATGGATGTATACACAGAATTTACACAGAAACAGGAGAATTTACACAAATAAACAAGGAAAATATTTACACTGAAACAAGGAAACAAGGGTATTTACACACAGAAACAAGGAATTTACAAGGGTATTTACACAGATGGAATTTACACAGAAACAAGGGAATTTAACAAAGGGAATTTACACAGAAACAAGGAATTTACACAGAAACAAGGAAAGGGAATTTACACAGAAACAAGGGAAAGGAAATGGATATACACAGAAACAAGGGAAACAAGGGAATTTACAGAAACAAGAGAATTTACATGGAAACACACTGAAACAGGGAAACAAGGGGAATTTTATACACAGAAACAAGGGTATGTACACAGAAACAAGGGAATTTACACAGAAACAAGGGTATTTACATAGAAACAAAGGAATTTACACTGAAACAAGGGAATTTACAGAGAAACAAGAGAATTTACACAGAAACAAGGAAATTTACACAGAAACAAGGGTATATACACAGAAACAAAGGAATATACACTGAAACAAATGAATTTACACTGAAACAAGAGAATTTACACAGAAACAAGGAAAGGAAATGAATATACACAGAAACAAGGGTATTTACACAGAAACAAAGGAATTTACACTGAAACAAGGGAATTTACAGAGAAACAAGAGAATTTACACAGAAACAAGGAAAGGAAAAGGAAATACACAGGAAATGGATATACACAGAAACAAGGGGATTTACACAGAAACAAAGGGATTTACACTGATACAAGGGAATTTACAGAGAAACAAGAGAATTTACACAGAAACAAGGAAAGGAAATGGATATACACAGAAACAAGGGTATTTACACAGAACTAAGGGTATTTACACAGAAAGAAAGGGATTTACACAGAAACAAGGGAATTTACACAGAAACAAGAGAATTTACACAGAAACAAGGAAAGGAAATGGATATACACAGAAACAAGGGTATTTACACAGAACTAAGGGTATTTACACAGAAAGAAAGGGATTTACACAGAAACAAGGGTATTTACACAGAAACAAGGGTATTTACACAGAAAGAAAGGGATTTACACAGAAACAAGGGAATTTACACAGAAACAAGAGAATTTACACAGAAACAAGGAAAGGAAATGGATATACACAGAAACAAGGGGATGAAACAAAAGGACCTTAGACTGAATCAAGGAGGTTCACAATGAAACATGGGACATTTACACTGTAACAAAGAGGTGGGCACTGAAACAAAGGGCCCTGAAACAAACAGGCTTTACAGTGAAACAAAAGGACTTTGCACTGAAACAAAGGAGCTTTACAATGAAACAAAAGGACTTTGCACTGAAACAAAGGAGCTTTACAATGAAACAAAAGGACTTTGCACTGAAACAAAGGAGCTTTACATTGAAACAAATACATTGTACACTGAAGCCAATGGCAATCAAAACTGAGAGTCATCCTTTTCATCTTTTTAATTTACAGTCAACACATGTTACATACAAAGTTTGCTTGCATTCAGTGAGCAGCTGGGGAATAAATCAATGTAACCTACTAGCATCTGATTCAAGTCAGTATTGCCAGCTGTCTTCAGACTGCGAGCATCAGGACGGTAAGTGCTCTCCTACACCCTATTGTCTCCAGCTTCCTGGCCATTGTTCCTGTACATTTGTACAGCCCAATATCTTTTTCAGTTATATTTGACTGACTGACTGAGTTTGGTTTTACGCTGCTCTTAGCAATATTCCAGCAATATCATGGCGGGGGACACCAGAAATGGGCTTCACTCATTGTACCCATGTTGGGATTGGAACCCGGGTCTTCAGCGTGACGAGCCAACGCTTTAACCACTAGACTACCCCACCGCCCCCAGTTATATTTGACATGAAACTATTTGATCTTTTGGTTAGGTGGAAAAGAGCAAATGCTAACTTTGAAGAAAGAAATTGCTGCTGAGTATTTGTAGTATATGTCCATGATACCTATTCTCAAGAAATGTGTACCGCCTCCGTGGTGTAGTGGTTAGAGCGTCCGCCCGGAGAGCGGAAGGTCGCAGGTTTGATCCCCGACCGCTTCATACCAAAAGACGTTAAAATATGGTACTTGTTGGTCCCTGCCTGGCGTTCGGCATTAATGGGTACAACAAGGACTGGTCGGCTCGGAGTCAGTATAATGTGTCTGAGTGGGGTATTCATGCTTCACTGCAGCATGGTATCTCAGTGGGCTAGCACTATAAAACCTGCTTCAGTCTGGGCTAGTACAAGCAGCGGCACATACACATACAGACGCATGCACGTCGTCATATGAGCGAAATATTCTCAAGCACGACGATAAACCCAATTTCACCTCACCTCGAGAAATGTGCACCAACTGATAACTGGAACTGGTAAAAACTAAAGTTCTTTTTTGTTAAATGATTAGTCATTTTATTGAGTAGTACATCATTTATTGTTAACAAAAGTCAAACTATCACAAGTCAGATGTTAAGGAGAGAATGAAGATCAAATTCCACTTTGTAATCTACATGACACATAGCACCAACTGTAGAACAGATATCCCCAGAAACACTTGAAGCAAATTGTGACATATGGTCCTTGTGACAGATACCAAGACTTTGGTTAGAACTAGTTGTGGTAAGTAAGTCACACAGAATAATCACATTAATAATGCCGCTGTAGATCAGAACTTTGTAAAAAACGTTACTGTCATTGTAATCTATGTTACTGTCATTGTAATCTGCGTTACTGTCATTGTAATAAACGTTACTGCATTGTAATCTGCGTTACTGTCATTGTAATCTACGTTACTGTCATTGTAATCTACGTTACTGTCATTGTAATCTGCGTTACTGTCATTGTAATAAACGTTACTGCATTGTAATCTGCGTTACTGTCATTGTAATCTACGTTACTGTCATTGTAATCTACGTTACTGTCAATGTAATAAACGTTACTGTCATTGTAATAAACGTTACTGTCATTGTAATAAACGTTATTGTCATTGTAATGTAGGTTACTGTCAATGTAATAAACGTTACTGTCATTGTAATCTATGTTACTGTCATTGTAATAAACGTTACTGTCATTGTAATCTACGTTACTGTCATTGTAATAAACGTTAATGTCATTGTAATAAACGTTATTGTCATTGTAATCTACGTTACTGTCATTGTAATCTACGTTACTGTCATTGTAATAAACGTTACTGTCATTGTAATAAACGTTACTGTCATTGTAAGCTACGTTACTGAAATGAGTGTAAACTAATTTGCATAAATTGATCATAAACTTACTACACATACGTTTTGTTTAACTAAGTGTTACTGGAAATATATTTCACATAAGTTTTTTCTGTCTTATATTTCGATCAACAACAAAACGTGGCGATTATACAACTTACAAATCTTGTAATCTAAGATAACGTAACACTACCATATCTATATCAAAATTTAGAAACATTACTGGTGAAATGTTGCTGTTCTATTACACAGAGTTACATTGAAAGATACAAAAGTGATCAACTGTTTCTTCATTTCGTTCATTATTTAAAGTACCGACAGTACAGAAGCACAGTGAAAATTCATCCAAACTGTAATCACATTACCTGTTTAGTCTGATGTGGAATATCAACAATGATAAGCCAATTTAAAGTAAATAATCATTTAATGTTTTGAAGAGTTCCTGCCCTAACTTTAGGCCCATAAACTGTCTTATCTGAATAAGAATCGTGAAAAATTTATACTGCTTTGGGAATGAGGTCACAAAGATTACATAATGTGGATTACAGAAACGTCCTTTGGGATTTAAACCAAACATTTCAAGTGTAATAGAAGAGCATTTCCTTCACTTAGTTATTACTACTGAATAGGTCCGTTCATTTTAAAACTCTTTTGGTGACACTGGGTGTACAGTTTTTATCTTATGGTGATCACGTAGATTACATCCTTAAAAAATCTCTTCAACTTTAAAACTGTGACGTATCATGGTGGGAAATTGGCTGAAATGTAGTGACGATGAGATTGATATTGTATTGTCCCAACATAAAACTAAATAAGGCATACTATCTAATAAATACACATAATTTTAAAAATAATTATAATTCATATTAAATAAGCTAAACCATATAAAGATATGTTCTGGGTATGGACGAAAGGGACAATACCTTATGTCGAAAATGTAATCTGTCTTGTTCACACCAGATGACTATTTACTTTTAAATATTCACTCAAAATGTTATACTATCATTAGAGACAGCACATTTTGGAGATTTTCACTACCTTTTCACTCCGAGTCATATATATATATATAAGTAACAGATCATAAACAATTTCTATGTTTTGGGTACCTACCATGCATGTCACCTAATATAAACATGAAATGAACAGGTAAAAACAGTCAAAAAGTGGTTTTTTTATGCGGGGACACATAAAATTACAAATGGTGCACATTTCGTGAGAATAGGTGATGAACATTGGAGAAACTTTTGTTTTTTGTATTAGAGGACTTCATTAGCTGTGACACAGGTAGATCGGTTCTTGTGTCAGGCAGGTACCTGGGTAGGACCTTGGTGCCCACAGGACAAGTCTGCCTCACGGTCCCTGAGGTACATTGTTCCCCTTCCCTCATGATATTCTGCAATATTAAAGTCCTCAATGAATCAAGTCTAGATTTTCTCACGATGTGAAACTCCCAGCTCAATGGGTCTCCTTTCCAATTTTATATAGAGTTACATGGTTCCATCCAAATTCTTTATATTCCGAGACAAAGTCTACCACATACTGACCTTGACCAATGGTTAATCATGTGACATGTTAACAGAAATTCCCCATAACCCCATGGTTAGTCATGTGACATGCTGACAGAAATTCCCATAACCCCATGGTTAGTCATATGACATGTTGACAGAAATTCCTATAACCCCATGGTTAGTTATGTGAACATGTTGACAGAAATTCCCATAACCCCATGGTTAGTCATGTGCCATGTTAACAGAAATTTCTATAACCCCATGGTTAGTCATGTGACATGTCGACAAAAATTCCCATAACCCCATGGTTAGTCATGTGACATGTCGACAAAAATTCCCATAACCCCATGGTTAGTCATGTGACATGCTGACAGAAATTCCCATAACCCCATGGTTAGTCATGTGACATGCTGACAGAAATTCCCATAACCCCATGGTTAGTCATGTCCCATGTTGACAGAAATTCCCATAACCCCATGGCTAGTCATGTGACATGTTGACATAGATTCCCTATAACCCCATGGTTAGTCATGTGACATGTTGACAGAAATTCCCATAACCCCATGGTTAGTCATGTGACATGCTGACAAAAATTCCCATAATGCCATGGTTAGTCATGTGACATGTTGACAGAAATTCCCATAACCCCATGGTTAGTCATGTGACATGCTGACAGAAATTCCCATAACCCCATGGTTAGTCATGTGACATGCTGACAGAAATTCCCATAACCCCATGGTTAGTCATGTGACATGCTGAAAGAAATGCCCATAACCCCATGGTTAGTCATCTGACATGTTGACAGAAATTCCCATAACCCCATGGTTAGTCATGTGACATGTTGACAGAAATTCCCATAACCCCATGGTTAGTCATGTGACATGCTGACAAAAAATTCCCATAACCCCATGATTAGTCATGTGCCATGTTGACAGAAATTCCCATAACCCCATGGTTAGTCATGTGACATGCTGACAAAAAATTCCCATAACCCCATGGTTAGTCATGTGACATGCTGACAGAAATTCCCATAACCCCATGGTTAGTCATGTGACATGTTGAGAGAAATTCCCATAACCCCATGGTTAGTCATCTGACATGTTGACAGAAATTCCCATAACCCCATGGTTGACAGAAATTCCCATAACCCCATGGGTCATGTGACATGCTGACAGAAATTCCCATAACCCCATGGTTAGTCATGTGACATGTTGACAGAAATTCCCATAACCCCATGGTTAGTCATGTGACATGCTGACAGAAATTCCCATAACCCCATGGTTAGTCATGTGACATGCTGACAGAAATTCCCATAACCCTATGGTTAGTCATGTGACATGTTGACAGAAATTCCCATAACCCCATGGTTAGTCATGTGACATGCTGACAGAAATTCCCATAACCCCATGGTTAGTCAAGTGACATGCTGACAGAAATTCCCATAACCCCATGGTTAGTCATGTGACATGTTGACAGAAATTCCCATAACCCAGTGGTTACACTGCAGGTTCATTTTGATCTTTGTATGTTCTCGATAAAGCTTCTGTCATGTTCAGTGTTCGCATGATCAGATCAATTTAAACGAAGAATATCATTTTTCTTTCCAATCCAAAGAGATTGGCCCTGAAAACAACATCAAGCTATGTGTATAGTTATTTGCCTCTTCACCATGCTTGGTTGTAAATGATTTTCATTGCCTGTAAATACAGGTTGACTGTAAATAGGGTAAGATGTCAGTCCATCGGGTTGACTGCACATAGGGTAAGAAATTAGCCCATCGGGTTGACTGTAGATAGGGTAAGATTTATAATATTGATTACATGCACTTAGCAACAAGAATTCTAATTACCAGCTGCATTATGTATTTTGGTGAGAAGATCAAGGTCATGTTGTTCTGTATTCTGGTAGGCTTCCTGTTCTTCAAGACTGAGGATCTTGGGTAAATTGACCAGGGATTCCAGACAAGCTCGACCAATGCCGGTACTTGGCACGACATGGAGTGGGATCTCAATCCTGTCATAGCTACAACACAACACAATAGTATGACTCACACACAATCTCTATCAGAGGGCGGGTACTGCCATTAGGATCATATTACACATGTTCAGTGAAGCTATTACAATACTAATTCAGACACAATGAAAAGTAACTGTCATATGATATGGTATTGTCGCAATATCATACATATTGCAAAATATGGTTGCGATAGAATTCAAAAATTGATACAGCACAATTATTTCATGAAGATGAGGTAATTGAGGACAGACACATATTGCTAGATGGCACCATGAACGTAAAGCTATACAGAAATACCTGGAAAATATTCAGAAAATACTTAAAAATCTATGTACGATTGCTGTTAAACAGTTTCTGTTGTCACTCAAAAGTGTTACAACATATTGTGATACCAGGGTTTTGATTTCATGTATTGTATTGCGAGCCTTGATGCTGAATGTGAGTCTTGATTCCTCGAGAGTTACAACTGTTGCCATGGATACTTACTCCAGAGGGCCGTAGTCTCCTCCTCGACTCACACTCTGGAAGCTGGTCACCTGAACTCGATTTTGCTGAAAACAAATTCCGGACTCACAACAACGTATGGTATGGATTTACAACTTCTTTAATATTACAACACGACGTTTAATATTACAACACGACCAATACATCCACCATCACTCCAACCACCATCCCCAGATCAAGAGAGCCATCGTGTCTACACTTGCAAGACGTGCCAAGAACATCTGCAGTCCCTCCAATCTACAATAAGAATTAGCCCACCTCAAATCTACCTTCATCACCCTCAATAGCTACCCGAGACACCTAGTAGAAACCACCATCAAGAAGATGTTAGAACATCAAGATCAACCTCCTACTAAGTCTGAACCACAGCCATCAATTTCAGGAGTTTGAAATAAACGGTGATGGTTTCAGTGCTAAGAAAATCATGCCCAGGGTGAAAAATTTATCTGAACCCACAAGCAGCAGATCCTGGCATTACAAGGGAAACAACCCTAACCAGGAAATTGCCGCTCACTGGACACCACCCAGTCATGTAATGTGTGTCCTGGCACTCTGAGAGGTGAGGTTAGTTACCTTTGTATTTTTGTCTTCATTAAACACGGAGAAGATGAGGCCGATGAATCCAGGGTCCATCAGCTGGTATGATGCTTGTGTCCGCACATCTGAAGGTGACACAATGGAGCAGGGTTAAGCAAAGAAGTACACCAACAAATAGCCAAAGACATTGGAGCCGAATGAAGAAGCTGGTTACTGTAAGAAATGTGGCAATATAATACACAAATTACATCCTTTCCTGAGCAGCCAGGGATTTCAGAAAAACTCCAAATGAAAAACCCTTGGCCGGAAATATGGAAAAGAAAGGTTATTGTTGAATATTAGATATTGTTGCTGTTATTTTTGTCATTTCTGAGAAAATGTAATTTTTAGAATAAAATTGATATTTTATACTTATCCTGACTCATGCTCTTTTGCTTGTCTTCTTCTTCTTGCGAACATAGTGGAAACACTTGTATCTCCTTAATTGAAGCTCCCTTCAATGTAAAATCACTAATCAGTACTCACCACGAGTTGCTCCCCTTTGATCCCTTTTGGAGGGAAAGGTGTCGCCACCTCATACCTCGTGCTTCACTCTCTCCTGATTTTGCGAGCCCAACACTTGAATTTACAGGGAAATCCAAAGTGTTATGTGGGGAGGATGGGAGGGCTGACCTCATGAGTCAGGATAAGTATAAAATATCAATTTTATTCTAAAAATTACATATTTTTCCTTATCCTGACTCATGCTCTTTTGCTTGTAGAATCCTACGGAACGGAGGAGGGAGTAACAGAATACTTTGGATTTATAATTAGTGATTTTGTATAAATATAACTGTAATAACTGGTATGGGAACTTCATGAAGGCATAGACTTAGGATATTTCCTGTATAAAACCATAGGTTGTATAATTCCATAATTGTGTATTACATTGATATATATTGAAAAAAAACCCATTACATAAATTATATATACATAAGAGACTCTGATAGAGTCGCTGCACAACTAAATATAATGTCCATATATACTTAGGGGTGAAAGACCTAAGCTGAATATATATACATAGCTCTAGAACTCCTCAGAGTTATAAGCTAACTAAATTATGTATATAATACATATTAACTTTGTGATTGTAATATTTTAACGCCTACGAGGGACTGTCAGCTGTTGAGCGAGGACCAAAGGGCCGAAATGGTGAATGCCAGAGACATCTTCTGTGGTGATATCTCTCAAGTAGTGATTCGCAAACACCATGTTCGATTTCCAAAAGCATCCTTCCATAATAGTGTTCAATGAACAGTTACCGTGCAGGGCGAGGGTGGAAGCCAGTGCCCTAATCTCATGCGGATTTGATGCTGTTGGTGGGTCCAAGCCTGCTGCCTTGTATGCGCGAAGTATGACAGTCCTTATCCAAATAGATATGGTAGTACGCGAGACTTCTGTTTGATTCGTTGGCGATAAGGGGATGAATAATCTTTTGAGAAATCTTCGCCTTGTTTTGGATCGTCGTAGGTAAACTTTGAGAGCTCTGACTGGACACAGTGACAAGTCTTGTGTATCTTGTGATCCGAGAATGGAGGATAGCGCTGGTACATGGAATATCCTGTCTGGTTGACCTGGTAGTTGATTTTTAGCGATGAAATCCCATCTTAATCCGAGGTGCGCTATGTTTTGATTGTCATCAAACTGTATCCTTTCGTAATCCAGAGCGTGAATTTCAGATATTCTTGCTGCCGTGGCTAGAGACAACAGAAATAGTGTTTTCTGTGAGAGAAATTCAAAGTTTGTCGATTCCAAGGGTTCATAAGCCTCACTTGTGAGGTGTTGTAACACTATATTCAGATCCCAAGCTGGGGCGTGGAACTTCCGCTTTTGGTCCTCCAATCGGAAAGCACGTAGTAAGGCCAGTAACTCTGGAGATTTTGTCAGCTTGACACCCGTTCTCATAGTAATCACAGAGCTAAGCGTGGCAAGATATGTTGATATCGTCGAACCTCTTAAATGTTTGTTTTGCCGCGAGGTAACACAAATAGTCTGCCACTTGAGGATGTGAAGCATCCCTCGGCTGTAAATCCTTTATTAGCTGCATAATTTTCAAACTGTGCCACTTGTCAGCCGTTACAAGTTGCCACGAGTTGAGTGTCGTAAGGCAAAGCGTGACCGCTTTGCCGCCCTGGCAGAATATCCTCTCTTGTTTAAACACATTTGTATACAGTCCATACGTGAAGTTGGTAAACTTCTGGGTTTCCGTGCACTTGTTTTGTGTGTGGATGTATTAACAGGTTTGAGCGCTTGGGTAGCTCTAATATTGGTTGACCGATTTCTTGAATTAGACTGGGAAACCATACTCTGGCTGGCCAGTAGGGCGCGACCAAAGTGAGTTGTAGACTCTGTGTTTGTTTGATTTTCTGTAATACTAGAGGTATTATTGCTGGCGCGGAAACGCCGTCTGGCGCTGAGGCCTTCCCAAGATATACTTAGAGTCCGTTTCCCAAGCTTGTGGATCTGGGATTGGTGACACAAATGTCGGTAACTGATTGTTGAATCTTGTGGCAAATAGATCTATTAGCTGCTAACGGCTTGATTATCTGAGCAAATATTTCCGTATTGAGCATCCACTCTGTCGGTGATGGTAGATGAGGCCGAGATAGCGCGTCTGCTAGTACATTCTTGGCTCCGGGAATGTGAACTGCTCTGATCTGTAGATTTAGATCGTGGGTTAGATCGAATAGTTGAAAGCTTAGATTCAAAAGGTTCAGTGATCTCGTTGAGCCTTGCTTGTTTACGTAGAACGCCACTGTAGAATTGTCTGTATGAATCATCAGGTGCGCATTTTGTAGAAATGTGCTCCAATGTAGAATGGCGTTGATTACAGCTTTCATCTCTAAGTTGTTTATGTGGAGTTTGCTTTCTTGTTGATTCCATATTCCTGATGTCGTTTGGTTGGCGAGATGAGCTCCCCAACCTTGAAGTGACGCGTCCACATATAGATGGGTTTTGAATTCCTGCTCTGCTAAACAAATCCCTTCGCAGACATTCGATTTCTTTGTCCACCATAGTAGATGAGGTCTGAGATGTTTCGGTAGACTGAATGGCTGTAATTCGTCGAGATGTGCATTGATGAAGACCTGTAAGGGACGTAACTGTAACCTGCCTCTGACTGTCATGTCTTGGGCTGATGTGAGGAGACCTAGGAGGCTCTGCCATTGTCGAAGTGGTAACGGAGAGCGTAGAGCTGGTGGAATGGTCTGTTGGATCTTGATCCACGGTCTTCTGGTACTGACGATACGGGTTGAGATTTGTGATAAATCGAATGCCTAGGACCTGTAGGTCTTGTGACGGTACTAGGTCCGACTTGAGTAAGTTTACTAACCATCCTAGCTGTGTTAGTAGCTTTATGATGTAATTTAACTGTAGTTTGAGATGCTGTGGATCTTGATCTACTTGTATCCCGTCGTCGAGGTAAAACGCGACTCGCGCAGCCCTTGATGATGAAGATAGGTGATAATCGGTTTCGTTATCCTCGTGAAAAGCCAGGGGCTGATGATATTCGAATGGGAGCACTTTCCACTGGTAATGTTGCCCGCCTAAGGTAAACCATAGGTATTTCCTGGCTTTTGGCGTGTATCGGGATGTGCAGGTAAGCGCCCTGTAGATCGATACTGCCCATGTAGTCCATGGGGCTTAATCAACTGCCGTAACTGAGGTAAATGTATCATGCGGAACTCGTGGTTTGCGTAGATAGTTCTTGTTGAAAAAGCTCATGTTGTAGATGAGTCCAGATTCTCCTGGAGTTTTTCTTGGGAACTAGGAAAACTGGGGAGTAGAAACCTGGTTCTATGTTGTCTTGGTCTAGTACTTCTATGGCCTGCTTTATTAAGAGTGATGTAACAGCCTCTCTTAACTTCGTAGTTGTTGTGCCTGTACGTCGAACTTGTGAGGGTTGACTGTCAGCGGAGGCTTGGCCTTTAGTGGGATCTGAAAATCCGCGGATCTAAGAATGTTGGAGACATAAGGGTCTTGTAATATTCCCCAGTTTTCCCAGTAAAGTTGGAGGCGCCCACCCACTTGAGATGGTTGTACTGAACGGCTGGGGTGGAAGACTCCAGTCGCTCCAACCTGTCTTTCAGCGCTTATAGTTGCGGAACCTCTGGGTGTCCTGCCTCTTCCTGAACCTCCTCTATAGTTGTCGAATGGGCTTAAAAAAGAATCTTTTCCTCTAGAGCTGGCTATCTTCCTGTCTCGTGCCCTCTGTAGGCCCGTGAATTTAGATCTTCCTGAGTATCTTTGAGAGGTCTGTCGGATGACACTGGCTAGTGTGTCCATCGATTTAATCATCAGGACTTCTCTGGAATCCTTAGTGACTTCCTTGGAAACTTTGTCTATTTCTCCATTAAAGATGGATGTTGAAGACCACGGGGCTGTATACAGTGGGGCTGTAAAGTTCTCACCCCAGTTACAGGAAGCGAGGAGGCCTTGACGACGAGCTAAGGTCAGTGCTGCTGAAATAGATGTAAGATGATCTGTTAGGAACTGCTGGTCTTTCTTTTGCATAAGTAAGGCAGAATAAATCATTCTATCATCCTCAGAAGTCGATCACGAAATCTGGTGATAAGAGTCTCATTGATCGTTCTAGATCTATTTAAACCAAAAAACATACATCTCCTCATGGTTTCTATCTGGACTAACTTGCGATCATCAATCTTGTAATTCTTGTACTTGACATCGTTGATCAACTTATAGTTCTCATCGATGTCCTGAGCTTTGAAGAAGGGGTCCATGTTATGTGCGTGGAGAACTTCTTGGCATGAAAGTTTGGTAGATGTGATGTCTGAACTTTCGCGGGCTTTGTGGAATGCTGCATCTAGATTCTGTGGAACTGCTGCAATCGGGTCGATCGGTGGTAGTGTGATAGCATCTGCATCGCCTTCTTTCATCAGATATGTCTGCGCCACATTGCCATTTTTAGATGGTGATGAGAGATCTAGGTTATTGACCATCCAATACCGTGATCTCCGCATCGGAGAAAATAACTCCTCCATCATCCTCTATACCATCATCATTGATGAGAGGTTGGTGCTGTTCTGGACTGGGCGTGCTTCTGTCTCTACGTCCGCCGATGCTTGTGCAGCTCTGTATGGTGATCTGTAAGGTGATCTACGTGGTGATGAACTAAGAGGCGATCGCCTAGGTGATCTACGCCTATGGGTTGATCTTCTCGGTGACCTGTGAGGAGAACGCTGATAGCTTCACGCGGCTCTTGTGTAGTCCCTCGATGTCCTTCTAGATGATGAAGATCTGGATTCAGCTGGCCTTTCGCTAATGCCTTCGCGAAGCTTCCTCTGCGTCCGTCCGGGATTTACGATAAGACCTTCGCCGAAGGCTTTCGCGGATGTCTGATGGTCCGAGTCCACATCTTGGGATGAAGATGACGAGGGTGAAGATCTATCCGCCTTCAAGGCCGCTCAAGGCTGTACATCTAGGTCCTTCGTGGAGGTGGTCCGCGCCTTCCTTCGCTAAGGTGACATCGCCTTGGCTGCTACGCTGACGGGGGTGCCTCTGGGTGCTGTCTACGCTGGAGCCTTCGCGCGGCTTCTCGGTCCTTGCTTCTGCAGTCTATATCGGTCTTCCATCATCGCCATAATTTGCTGCATCAGGTCATCAGGGATGGTCTGCGACGATGTTGTCTCCGCGCCTCTGCGGTGTTAATGATGGGGTCCACAGCAATAACGTCTGACATCGGTGTAGAGGCATCAGGCTGCATGAAGATCTCTGCTGAAGTCACTGTCGCTGACACCGGGCCGCTTCTTGTGCCGTATGTCGGGATGATAATCGGCTGGTCATCGAGGCCCCTTTCTTCGGGCTGGAACGATCTCGGCTGAGAAAGTTCTCGCTGTCTTCGTAGACTTCCCTTTGATGTCGACGCTGCCCTGGGGTACTGGTTCGCGCTGAGAAGACGCCGAGGCCCTCTTTGACTTTATCTGCATATGACGGATGTCTGGGGAGGCCGGCCGCTTCTTAGAGGTGACGGATCAAGCGCCCCACGCCCCTCTTCCGATGGGGTCTCTAGCAGAACACCAGACGGTAGGGGGTCGATCGCCAGCAGCTGACTAGATGGAGTATCTGGAGTATCAGCCATATTTAGCCCTTGTTTGCGTGACCTATCTGCAGCACGTCTTAAGACGCAAAGATAGTATTTATTAAATGCAGAATTAGATAAATTAATGCAATAACTGCAACGCGAATCAAACGCGCATTAACGGGCGTGAGAACAACTAGGGCATATTACATGGATCTGAGGCAGAAAAACGTAATCTACAAATAGTACAGATTTTCATCAACGTAATACTAGCTGAACAATCACGAATACACGTGAATAAACAGTAGAAATATGATAAATAATCAATACAAATTGCTGAAGGATACTAGCTATACCTCTATAGTACACTATAGGAGGTAAAAAACTAAGAAAAATCAAAGGATATGTTGTGTAAGGAGACACAGGCGCTCTCACATCCTGCTCACTGGGCGAAGAAGGAGAGAGTGAAGCACGAGGTATGAGGTGGCGACACCTTTCCCGCCAAAAGGGATCAAAGGGGAGCAACTCGTGGTGAGTACTGATTAGTGATTTTACATTGAAGGGAGCTTCAATTAAGGAGATACAAGTGTTTCCACTATGTTCGCAAGAAGAAGAAGACAAGCAAAAGAGCATGAGTCAGGATAAGGAAAAATTAGAATCTTTTACATTCCAATGTGCCAAATATTAGCCCCTAGCATGTCCAGACAATTTACCGAATGTTTTTGTTTCTGTTCCCCATCATTTTCACAGGTGTCCATGTTCATGTGAACGACCAATCAGAAGCTGTTATTTTATTCAGCCAACAGTCATGATATTCATCTTACATGTGATGAGAAAAATTATGTTTGAACATGGTATATCGCTCTTGTGGAAAACTCTGGCTCTGTAACCATGGTAACAGGTTGATTCTTACCAACATGGGAGGGCCACACTGTGATGTGGGGGTGGGAGTGATACCAGCCCAACACTCTCATTGGGCGCTGCAGCTCTTTGGCCAAGTCCTGGGTGTAAAAGATGTAACACTCAATTATTTGTTGTTTATTTGGTGTTAATGCTGGACTCCAGACCTGTGAAGATCCGGGTAACAATTTATCTTCAGTAGCCCATGCTTGTCGTAAGAGGCGACTAACAGGATCGGGTGATCAGACTTGCTGACTTGGTTGACACATGTCATCGTATCCTAATTGCGTAGATCGATGCTCATGCTGTTTGTCACTGGATTGTCTGGTCCAGATTTGAAAATTTACAGACCGCTGCCATATAGCTGGAATATTGCTGAGTGCAGCATAAAACTAAATTCACACACTCACTCACTAACGCTGCTCTCAGCAACAGTCCAGCTATATGACAGCAGTCTGTAAATACCTTCTTCACCAGCCAATCCAGTGGTTGACATTGCGAGCATCAAGGATATGGCAACAGGTGCACTCAAATAAAGTTCTATCTGAACACTCCTCCTACTACTGACAGAACCTGGTTATCCTTTTAAGACCCGTGAACTAAAGAGCCTATGAACCACTCACTTTTGACAAAACAACTTAAACATGTTAAAGGAAGTGATTTAGTTACTATGGTTACCATGGAGTGTTTGGTGCAGACTCAGATCATTACAACACCAGAATAATTTCCGAAATTTGTCCAAATAATTTGTACAGTACTGTTGAACAATTTTGGGGATCATCTCATGTGTATGCAACAGTTCAATAACTATCTTCCTCAAGACTAAGCTAAAGACTAACTTCTCGTAACAAGTTTAATAACTATCTTCCTCAAGACCAAACTAAAGACTAACTTCTCCTAACAAGTTCAATAACTATCTTCCTCACACTAAACTAAAGAATAACTTCTCCAACCTGACATTCCACTAAAAACATATGTTTGAGCTAAACTTTCACAGCATGTGTGTGCAATTGATTCAGTGGCTGTTATTATTTCTAATATTATCATCTCAGCCCTGCAATGCCAATGTACCTCAGCTTTGGTTGAAGCGTCAGACAGCTGTTCTGGAGATATTTCCACTCTATCAGCCTGCTTGTCCGATCGCCTTAACATGATGACCGCAGAGACGTGGGACACTTTCCTCTCGTCGACCTAAAACAGACATGTCGACTTGTTGTCACATCTTTACCTTGACTTCACTTCACTGAGTACTGCACTTCGCTGCGGGGGCTCAAAACCATGCTTTGCCAGAGTACTGACTTAGTTAATTGGTGCTGTAATTAGCAGACACTAGACCCTGGGACCAGGAGTGCTATCACAGGTAATGAGTGCTTGTTTAACGGGTCATTAGCACCGCAGTGAGGTGCAAGTGCAAGAAATTTAAAAAATAATAAACCATAGCACATTCTTTTAATTTCTTGCGCATGCGCCTCACTATGTAATTCCCATTCATTGTTTCTGGGATTAGACTGATGAGTCCCGAGTGGGACGTGATGTGTTTCTATTGGACATATGCGGATTACGCTGCCCTAAGGTAAGGTCTGACAGTAAATCCGGATACTCGGAAAGGATTGTTTGCCTTTAAAAACGTCTCAGCTCCCAAAGGATCGGAAAGGGTACCATACCCTAATCCCTAACTCTGAACATCGGAAAAGGGTACCAAACTCCTAATCCCTAAGGATCGGAAATGGTACCAGACCCTTAACCTAAGGATAGAAAGGCTACCACACCTTAAACCTTAAGGATCGTAACGGGGTTTTTGCCTCTAAAGATGTGTATGCTCCCTAAGAATTGGAAAGGGTTGTTTGCCTTTGAAGAAGTGCCACTGGAAAGCACTGGAGCGTGAGGCAAGCAGCGATATAGAGAGACAGCGGGCGCGCTATAGTGCGATAATTGCTCCGCAGCGGGCAGACATTGCTGGCTGGGGTTGCGCCAGGTAAACTGCATTCTCCCAGCCGCATCTTCTTCGACATACATGAAAATCACACCGAATACATCTTCAAGTGTACACTTCAAGTGTCTTTCAAGGACCAAAACTCACCTCTCCGATTAGCAGGCCCATTACTTCCTCCCTCTCGGTTGACAAGGCATGCGTCAAGCACACAAGATACGCGTCAGCCTCAAGATGTACACACGACACCGCCATGACTGTATTTATGTTAACGATCCAAACACCAGATGTGGACAAATGTAACTCCAAACATTACACTAACAATAACGACCAGATCAGATCAGACACCACCGGAAATACACATACGGAAGTCACGGCACTTGGTGCGAACAAAAAACCTGTAGTGATATCCGAAACACTGCTTCATATATTTTATCATCCACCCAGTATTTTAGAACATTACAACTATGAATTGACGGGAATTTCATGTTTCTTCATGAAATTATGTTGATCAAATCCATCGTTATATTTATAGATTTAACAATATATAGAGATTTCGTATTTGTATGCCATTTGGGATTTTATAGTCACAAGTAACTCATCAACCTCCAAACAGAAAAGAGTTGTCAAACGTGTGTTTACTCACAAGAAATGGGTAGGTAATCACTGTACTGTTTATTTAATTTGTAGATGCTGTATGTGATGCACCCTTTGTTTGTTTATGCATTATGTGCATCTGTTGCTATTTTGGCGTGATCCGATATGTGGATGCATTTTTTTTGTTTGTGGCATATCAAGAAGCACAATTCTTGCTACCGATCGGTGATTTATTGATTGATTTTTCCCGTTCACATGTTAGGGTTCACGACAGTAGATCTTAGCTCAGACTGCTGCTCAGTCACCACAGTTTTCTGCACATGTCATCTTGAGACATATAAATATAGAGAAACCCTTCATTAGGCTTCAATTGTAATCAATATTCCATTGATTACAAAAGTTCTTGTATTGGTACAGAGCAAACAGTCAGTCAGAGTCAGATTCACTATTCGTGACAGAACCATGGATAAAGTATCTTGTCACATAACATTCACTGATATTTAACATTTTCTGATGAATTGTCTAGTCAACAAAAATTTAGTACCATGTGTTTAAAAAGAGCAAAACATTTTTCAACTTTGAGACGTCTTTGTATGCAAACGTTCAGTTAGGGGTTGTTTCTATTCCAAACTACTCCCTAATTTCAACAATATTTTTTATTTAGTTCAGTGCAATGTAATCTCTAATTAGTGTAGCGGATCACAATTAAAGACCTATTCCACTAGTATTGGGAATTGGTTGAAATCTCACAATTCATGATTGCTTCATTACCAATGAACAATCATCGGAAAAAATTCGTCAGCGTGGTTTTTTAGATTTTGCTATCCAGGTTGTATTGCAGATATGTATAACATGATGCAACTTACTACTTTAAAGTGATGACAAATATATCATGAACATAAATTTCCTGGAGTCTTAGAGAAATATTCAGTCATGACTTTTCAGTTAGCGAAGTGAGTTTTCTTAGAATTAGACACGTTTTCAGGCTCTGACAGCTTCTAAGATATGTTCCATTTTCAAGTATTTCAAAGACTAAAACAGTAGTTCCAAAATCGTTTATGTTCCATTATGAGAAAATGTGATCGATTTGCTTGGTCGTCTGATTCACTGTGACCAGTCTTCGATTATTTCAATTATTTGGAAGACCACTAATTCCTACCTACTTAAGGCATGTGTGAATTTATGTTAATTTAAAGGGGCAATGATCCAGAGTGATTAATGTTTCACGCCAACAATTTAATTACATCGGGTGGTCAGTACCTGCTCCCTTTACTGTAATGGACACAGGGTACCGTTTACACCCATAACTCAGACCTCCCAAAACGCTGACCTCCTAAAATGCAGACAAAAATGGCACACTAATTAGTTGGGCCATGCTGGTCACCCCTAAATAATAAATGGCCTGGTCCACACTTTGATAAATATGTAGAACAAGGGACTAAGTGGACATCCTTGTCTAACACAAGTGGAACACACAAAATAATCAGATAGTTTTCTCCCTTCGCGGACAACTACAGCAGACATTGTCATATAAAGTATTATGTTGAAGAACACAAATTTTCCATGGATACCATATCATTGTAATAAAAGAAGTTAAAGTAATTTAGTTTGGTTAACCATGTCAAACGCTTTCTTGAAATCCACGAAAGCACAGTAGAATCTGCATTTTCCTCAAGTTATATGCATTTGAACAATAGATTGATCATGAAGAATGAATATGTTGTCAACTGTTAAATGATGTTTTTTAAACCTCCCTTAGTATTCACCAGTTACACCTTCATTCTCGACAAATGTATTAATTATCTTCTTTATGATGGATGTAAATAATTTACACAAAGTGTTCAACATCAATATGCCCCTATAGTTACCAGGTTCATTATTACTTCCCTTTTTATACATAGGTATTATAATATCAGTAGTCCATGTAGCTGGGAAATGACCTTCACACAATATTTGTGAAAACAATTAAGCAAGGTAGGGTGCAATCATATCCTTAATTTTCTTTAAAAATTCTGTTGTTCTGCTATTGTTATATCATATGACAGTTCATCATTTACACAATCAGTATAATGTTCATAACTATGTTCAGGAATATAGTTTCTAATATAAGCATCCAACTCCTGGTTACAGCCATCACGTGATACAGGATTTAATAAATCTTTAAAATATGTATGCCATGTTTCCGGTAAAATATTATTCTTATCAGATCGCCTAGATGAATATTTTTTTACTTTTACATATTATTGATTAAATAAATATTGATGAAATAAAGGATCACTTGCTACATTGTCAAAACTCGTTACATGGGTGATACCATTTTTCTTTAAGGTCACATGCAACCAAAAAATCAAACATAATTAAAGCACAATTATCATTTATTCATGACATATAATATACATTGCTGATTATGAAAAAACATATAAACAAAATTAAAATCACAAGTACTTCACAAGTATTCAAACAAAACATTGCATATTATCATGATAATAGAATAATGTATAAATCTTTATTAAATCATCTCATTCAATTGCTCTCAAATCGCATCAATGAATCTGTCTCATGAATATGTGTTGGTATTTTACCTTAAAATTTACTAAAAACGTGACTTGGAAAATGTTTTTTACCCATTAAGGAAAGATTTCACTTTAGACAAGGGCATGAATATTGGTCTCTGTCTAGGTCTAGGCAAGTTTGTGATAAAGCTGTCTTTTTTGCATCACCTGATCACATGATGAATGCGAGTAATTCCCTATCTAATTCCAGATATACTTCTGTTGGAATACCAGGAGAATTCTAAGATAACAAAACCAGGACACAGATATAGGAGAATGGACAGCAGTTGGTCATTATCATCAAACTAGTCACTTCTATGTTCACCTTCCTAGGCGATGTTCAGACGATGGTGTTCGCTCTGAACCGATGGAGGAGAACCACCCGGGGGAAGAAGATTCTGCTTATTCTAGCTGCTGGTCTGATTATTGTCATCATCAACATCATATGTGGTGTCAACTTCATGGACGCCCGCTATCCTGTTGACTACAATACTGATGACAAGTCTTCTCCATTTCGCGTACCTGACACAAACAGTGAGAACTTCTTCAGAGAACAACGCCGACGTGAAAGACTTCAGATTTTCCAAAAGATTTTCGAAAAACAGAGTCGCAGAAAATCACAAATCAGTAATCAGACCTGTCAGCATCCCCATTTGGATTTGAAGCATGATAGCAACAAAGATGCATTTCATTCTATGCCTCCACTGAACTGTACAGGGAAGAGCTTGTTCTACCTACACAATCGGGTTGCACGGCTCAACAACACTGTGCTGCAGGGTAAGGAGCTTGGCAAGTGTTTGTATTTTGGGATAGAACGAATGACTGATGATTTCTTTACCTACACAGAGAGCTTAGAAAAGACAGCACCTCCATATGACCTCATTTTAAATCACGACTTTCTGAGAATACAGTGTAACTATAAGAGCTCGGAAGATGAAGAAAACAATAATGTGTATCCTGGTTTTCGAAGACTGATGTCAACAGAACATAGGCGCCAAAAGGATTATTTTACAAAAAGTCAAAATGGTTCCTTTCATGAAACTAATTTCAAACGTAATCATGATGTATTTGACAGAAAAAATTTGAAAGATGTGATCCATTTTTCTCAACAGCCTCATATAGACAAAAAGTCAAATTCTTCTTTTGACGAATTGAAAACATGGAATACATCAGCTTCTTCACAGAATGGTCAAGCACGGAAGCTAAACCAGCTGAACTTTGAGGAGGGTAGAGCTGGAGATGAGTTAAAAGAACCAATGAACGGTGCCGGCGACATCATGGCACCATTTCCAGGTGGAAATTCTGATGAGAGTAATCCTGCGGTTGGGCAGGGTTTAGATGACAGCGAGGGATTTGACTACCAGCATTTTATGGGAGCTGAATGGATGGATAAAGATTTTGATCAGTTTCTTGTTCAAGTTGTTCCGAAGCAAGAAGTGTTTGAAAGAATTGCCAAGGCTAAATCCAACATGAAGAAGCCATCGTCCAATATGAACATCCTCATCATAGCCATGGATTCAATGTCACAGCTGTCCTACCAGAGGAAACTACCGCTGACTTATCGATACCTGAAGGAAGAGCTGGGGGCGATCATGCTGGATGGCTACAATATTGTCGGTGATGCTACCACTGCTGCCCTCATCCCCATGTTAACAGGTGAGGCTAGCATGTTATAAATGTCTTGATGGAACTTTACAAGTAAGTGGTCTGAAGAATGTGGTAAATTTTAGTCTGTAGTAATTGTTTTCAGCTTTAATTAAGCTTTTATAAAAAATATAAATAAAAAAGAACTCAAGCTGTCTGGTTGAATCTAAAAAGCAAAATCTTCTCTGAGCTATTCTCTGAACAGAGAAACACCCGTGAAGATCTGAGTTAGAATCGATCTTCAGTAACCCATGCTTGTCGTAAGAGGCGAGTAACGGGATCGGGTGGTCAGGCTTGCTGACTTGGTTGACAAATGTCATTGTATACCAATTTTGTCGATCAAAGTTTATACTGTTGATCACTGGATTGTCTTGTCCAGACTCTATCATTTACAGACCGCCAATCCCGTTAGTCGCCTCTTACGACAAGCATGGGTTGCTGAAGACCAATTATAACCCGGATCTTTACGGGTCCACTGTTTTGTGATAATTAACAAGGCAATTATTCTATGGTATGAGTGGTCATTGTGAAAAATGCATATTGTCCCAATAACAAATACCATAAGCATCAGTTTATTTATGAAAGGGTATAAATGAACACATTACTGTAACCTGTAATTGTTTGATTGGCATTCTTGAAGTTGGTGAGTCAAAAAATGAAACAGACAACTTCTTGTTTATTGCATTAAGCGATATTTCGATGTAGATTCTTACATCGAAACGTCGCTTAATGCAATAAACAAGAAGTTGTCATGCATAACCTGCCCATCCAACTACTGACAGACTATAAGTAGTAATAGAGAGGGGTACTACCGCAGATGCGGCTTAGAGGCTTATTTGTGGGAATTAAGCCTCCCAGCCCCCCTTTAAAAAATATCGAGGGCCATCCTTTGATGTGCCTCCAGCCTAGACCCAAAGTTCCGAGCACTGAGTTATCAGCTGGCTCGCCAGTGTGATGGTTAGAGCGTTGGACTCGTAATCCAGCATTTGCAGTTTGAGTCGGGGTAGCGATGAACACACTTTTGCAAGTCTGAGTCGAGGTGTAAAGGTCAGTCCTCCTCGCAGGAGGATTGATCTGTCACGTGGGCACGCGAGGTCGGGGGTCATTCCTCCTCCGAGGAGGACTGACCTGGGAAATCTGTGTCGGGTCATTTCTCCTCGAAGGAGGACTGACCTGTCACGTGACTATGTTATGTTGATTGTGGTTTCTAAGCCAAACCAAGATGGCGACCGAGCTTAGCAACGGGGTATGGACTGGGTTTATCCTGACCAACAACCCATTTTAAAAAATTTTAAACGTAGCCGTAATATTCAGGGACAACCCTTTCTGAAAACTATGTCATGATGACATCTACGAAGCAGTTGAACGTGAATCTTTTACGTTCTTGGTCAGGAAGGCTTGGATGATCTGTTGTCGGCCTTGTTCTATGAGCTTTTTTTTCTCGTCTTCGCTGAAGTCGGCGGTTTTCCGAGTCTTGGTTCGAATCTCTTCCTTCATGCGGTGGTACTTGGCAAGTTCGGTTAAAATCAGGCGGAACTCTTCTTCGGAGATTTTACTGTCCGTGACCGCCGATGAGACGTGGTTGTCGATTGTGTTCAGTTTGGCTTCGGCAAGCACCCTGATCTCGTCGTGTTTTAAGGCCTTCCGTTGCAGACGACGTGAAATGAATTTAAGGGCTACTCCCACCAGCCCCGATGCCCTGGCGGCTATTTCCAACCCAAGGACAACGGGTGCGGTCACAATGGTCGACAACAAGCTGATGCTGGCACCCCCGAGTCCCTTGCTGGCGACCACGAGGGCCGTGTCCATGCCGTCGATGGCATTGACGGCCCGATGGTACTTTTTGTGCAATCCGAGTCGCACGCCGCGTTGTCATTCCAGTTGGCGTTTGATGTCGCTGATCTGTTGCAAACGAAATCCATCAACAGTTTCGAGCGTTTGAGCCACGTCGTCCATGGCCGGATACAATCCCATCTTGCACTATATATATATAGTTTACTTAAATAATATTTAATTGGTCCTCCGTCAATCGTTGATGAATATACTTTAAGCTGATGAGGTACACGTGTTCGATGCAAAAGCAAAATTTCATCTATATATAATAAAAACCTCGACTCCCTCGAGGCTTGTGGTGGAAGCTGTTCCTAGTTGTACATAAATACGACAGCGTTGATTTTTATGGCGATCATGCCCGCAGATGTTTCCCCAGACAGAAGTCCCACCTGTTGTCCGGAGGCATTTCCAAGAACGAATAATAAGGGTAGAACCTGGTATCACAGTGATCCACGAGTCTGGGACTTCACTATATCGTTTTAAATAGAGCCATTTCGATGCGTCTTCCGAGTGAGGGACTAGCATATAACCCATTTGATCTGGTAATGGTGATGCGTACATTCCCTTTTTATGAAACGGAATAAAACTTCCCAGTAGAACCCATTGTTTTTTAGTTCGAGGATATTACGATCCTGATCCATGACGAGATAGGGGTAGGTCAGGACGATATTGATGATCCAGTTCAATTCGACGATGACTTCTCGACGTTGATACATGTTGTTTTGTAAGTGCAGGACGCATAAGCGTTTTCCTCGCATCGCTTCGTTTAATCCTCGCGTGTCCCTCGGTGATCAGAGAACGCGATGGTGGCTTCATGGAGTCACGCTTGTCATGGATTTTATTAGAGAAATTTTAATTGGTTTTCGGATAATTTTTCGGCCGGCCCACTTCAAACCCAGCAGATGTATGTTATCATGTAGGAAAATGTTCGTGAGGGATATCATGTTTTCCACAGTGACATTGACTCCCTGCTGACTAGTGAAGGCATCCACGCCCACCCGCGACGTGAAATCAGTGGAGACATGGGACTGAGGATCCACAAAGTGGTGGGCTACAACAATGAAATCGCCATTGCGACCGCACGATCAAAAGTTAGGTATCAATCACGATGTCAACGTGATTTGAGTCCCTCCACCCACGCATGCCGTGAAAGGGGATCGAAACTCCACTTGATGATGCCATCATGGAGAAGGTTTCACCAGCACCAGAGCCCAGCTTCAACCATCACCACCACGCCTATCACCACGCTGACACAAAACGGCCATGGGAACGTGGCGCCATGGTCGACGGATCGTGGTTCAGATTTTATTAGGTGAAAAGCCACCGGTAATAAGGCGAAGCGACTGGTTCTGGCGCTACTGTAGCTAGTATAGAGGGAGCCCAGCTCAAGATAAATAATGGATTGTGGCCTCTACAATTTTTTCAGCGCTTTGTCGACTAATGTATCTTATTCAGCGTGGTTCAAACTACCTACAGGCATCGTGGTTTGTATTTTATGAGACATGGATTCGAGGTGAAAAGCCACCAAACGCGGTTCGAAGTGAGCCATCTCATTGAAGCCGTAGTGGAATGATGAGTTTCAGACATCCTTTTATGCTTACTATAGACGGAGCCCGGGTTTAAGAGGATGATGCAATCTCAGGATAAACCTGTTAAACCGAAGGAGAAAGGCAGCCGACGCTTAATTCCCCTTTGGGAAAGAATGCGAAAACCATCAATCTTCGATTTCATCCCTTGGGGGAATTGCAGCTGCCGGGGACATTTTGCTACTTTTTTAACCTTTCTATCTTGGCACATCGAAGGATGCCTCTCGCTAGACCATCGCAATTTTTAAGGGGGGCTGGGGAACTTATTTCATAAAAATAAGCCTCTAAGCCGCATCTGTGGCAAACACACACACACACACACACGCACACACACACACCCCCCCTCTATTACTACTCTATAGTAGTATCGGTGTTGAGGCATGTTGTTGTGTTGTTTCAGGGAAGACGGAGATGGAGTTGCCGGAGGTGCGGAAGGAGGAGGAGGATGCAAACTTTGTCGACGTCTACCCCATGGTGTGGAACCGCTTCAAGGAGGCTGGCTACGCCACTCTGTTTGCAGAGGATGAGCCATCCATCAGCACCTTCAACTTGCGCTTTAATGGATTCCAGGTGAGCACTTGCCAGACACACAAGCAAGGGAACAAATGTACCATTTCATGTTCAAAATATGGCTGCAATGATTACACTATTAGGTGAATATGATGTGATGAATACGAATATTTAATCATCATATTTAACTACTAACTCAATAGTTCTACTAACTCTCAGGACATTGTCAACATCAGTCAAACTGACTTGACCCTAGCACCAGTTATGATATTGTGCCAAGGATTTATGTATGAATTTGAACAAAGTAAACTGGCAAATTGGGAAAAAAGTCATTATTTTCCTGTGGTATTTTAACATTAAGCATTTCCAGTTCAGTAAAGTACAAGTCAGCATTTGTCCTGTTATGACATACATGCAACCCATCCATAGCCGTAACACTGCTTAATATTTCAAATTTTGACAAGGACTGGGTAGATAAATAAATAATTGGTTGTGGTTTTCAATATCAAGTTGCAATCATATTACAGCTTCAGATCAGAATTTATTGATATTCTCACTCACACTCACTCACTCACTCACTCACTCACCACCACTCACTCACTCACTCACTCACTCACTCACTCACTCACTCACTCACTCACTCACTCACTCACTCACTCACTCACTCACTCACTCTCACTCACTCACTCACTCACTCAACATCCTGCGCTTTGATTGTAATAGGGATCGGGTGGTCAGGTTTACTGACTTGGTTGACACGAGTCATCGTGATCCCAATTATATAGATCGATGCTCAATTGATCACTGGATTGCCTGGTCTGGATTGCCACCGAGTCAATTATTTCCAGACTGTCACCATATAGCTGGAAATTCCTAAGTGTGGTGTTCAACTACAAACAGTGGAATAGTCTCACTCACTCACTTCATGATGTTTTCAGGAATCTCCTGCTGACCACTACATGCGGCCATTCTGGCAGGCCATCTGGGAGTCCGGTCTTCGGTCACAGAGTCCGCGGTACACCACTGGCGCCACCAAACACCACATCTACATGCTGGACTACCTTAAAGACTTCTTTGTCAACTACAACAACGTGTCCAAGTTTGCATTTGGCTTCAGCGTGGAACTCACTCACTGGGACAACAACCCTGGGGAGTACATGGACAGAGATCTTGTAGAGTTCCTGCAGCTTTTTCAGAAGAAGGGTTACCTTGACAACACAATGCTGGTTGTCATGGGCGACCATGGTGCTAGATACAGCAAGGTGCGGAATACGGTTCAGGGGAAGCTTGAAGAGAGACTGCCAATGATGTCACTTGTGTTGCCGCCATGGTTTCGTCATGAATATCCAAAAGCTAATGCAGCGTTAAAACGGAATAGTAAACGTCTAACAACACCGTTTGACATTCATGAAACATTTTTAGATTTGTTGAATCTTGAACGATTGACAGTCCCCATTAATCCAGAACAGAGGGGGATGAGTGTATTGAGAGACATTCCAGATAACCGAACCTGTGCTTCGGCCAGGATCGACATCCACTGGTGTGCTTGTCTTCATCAGGTGAAGGTCAACATCGAGGATAAGTTTGTTGTGACAGCGTCTGAGAAGGTTGTCAACTACATTAATGGGTTCACAGAGAAGCTTCGCGGTAACTGCTCGGAACTAAGTCTGAAGAGAATATACACTGCTTACATGGTGCTGCCCAATGAGAAGGTAAGGTTCAACATCAGTTTTTTTTAACTTTGGCGCCTCTGTTGTCGTTTTTGGGCATATGGATTCAATCATGTTGCATTGTAGGATATTTCGCGTTACAAGGATGTTTTCGTACAGAATACCTATTATGGAAAGTAGAGATATCCTCACGCGGAATATCTATTTTAGAATGTTTTGACCAGCAACATGGCGGACACGATGAGCTTTCTAGCCATGTATAACATGAATGGGTTCGTCCCTGCTGGGAGAGGCGTTGTTAGGGGTGAAAGTTCGGCGTTTTCAGGGTTTGATTTCACACATTTTAAATATTATCACATATACGATTATGTTTGTAGGGGGTTTATATCAAATAAAAAGACTCTTTATCAAAACAGCGTGTTGTATCGTGAAGTACATGTGTTAATTATATTGAAAAAAAAAAAAAAATCAAAATCTCGATTTTGACGTATTGAAGCAAAAATGTCAATTTAAGGTGCGTGTCTGGCCTTAAATATCTATCGGAAATCTGTTTCTTGATATCACTTGGATCCCCACAATGGTTCAGTGTTTGAAGTCCATTTCTAGTGTCTCTCTCATTTTATTGCTGGAATGTTGCCAGTAGCAGCGTAAAATCATACTCACTGAAAGCACTGCGACAGGATTGTCTCCCTTTACAAGTTTCTGTGGGGATTCACACACAGGTCCCAGCAACTCAGGCTTAATTTATGAGGGGACTGAGTGGTCAGTGACCAGGTTTACTGCGTGTTATTGTATCATTATGTCAATCACTGGATTGTGTGGTTGATGCTTGATTGTTTAATTGACTGAAGTGGTCTTTGAATATTGCTGAGTGTGGCGTCAAACAACTCATATTTTTTAACTGTAATCCTTACTAATACGAGATGTTGATGTCATTTACGGTTTCTTCCCAGGTACTGAAGTTCCAAAAGACGACCGACCCAGATTCAAGGAATGCTAATTTCAGTGGGTCAGTTGACCTTGACAAAGCTCACTACCAAATTACCCTGGAGACACATCCCAGTGATGCCATCTATGAGGTTACAGTTCAGGTAGACTTCCGTAACGAGACATACCAATATCACGTGACTCCAGAGATCAGTCGCCTTAATCTGTACGGAGACCAGCCCAAGTGTATTCAGAAACACCATCCAGACCTCAGAAAGTATTGTTTTTGTCGGGACTTTGTAAAGCCAATCTCTGAGGTCGGGAAGGGAGTGGCTTAGAGCCCAACTGTATTGAGAAACACCATCTTGACCTCAGAAAGTATTGTTTTTGTCGGGACTTTGTAAAGCCAATCTCTGAGGTCAGGAAGGGAGTGGCTTAGAGCCCAAGTGTATTCAGAAACACCATCCAGAACTTAGAAGTATTGTTTTTGTTGGGACTTTGTAGAGCCAGTCTCTGAGGTCGTAAAGGGAGTGGCTTAGAGCCCAAGTGTATTCAGAAACACCATCTTGACCTCAGAAAGTATTGTTTTTGTCGGGAGTTTGTAAAGCCAGTCTTTGAGGTCGTAAAGGGAGTGGCTTAGAGCCTAAGTGTATTCAGATACTCCATTCTGACCTCAGAAAGATAATCATGTTGATATGTTATGTTATCTGAAAGATATATTATAAGATTCCAAATGGTGAAAGAGCCATGTGTTTATGCCAGTTGCAGCATGAAGAGTGCTATTTTACAGTGATTTTGACTCTATATACATGTTTATACATATACATAGCTCGGCTAATCTTTGTGATTACAGGCCATTTGGAAGAAAATTAAAGTGTTTCTCACATTATGATGCACCAGCTTTCAAATCCCTGAAACACCTAAGTGATGAATTGCCAGATTTTAGAATAGGACCCTGATTATCAAGACAGTGAAATTCTGTCTATGGTGGTACTACTTCCATTAATTACTTCTTCATGACCAAACAATATAATTGTATGGATAAACGAGGCGAGACTATGAGGAGTTTAACAAATATAAACTGTTATTACTGTAAATTATGATGATTTAGCTCGTCACCTGTGAGCATAGACGTTCCTTGATCAATGTCCTGGATATGAATAAAACTGTGTGCGGTCCTCTGGGTATTGATCCAGTTACAAATCCGAGGTTATATGGCCAGTTTTTCAGAATCAGACAATATTTGTTAGTTCAATATATTGTTATCATACTTATGTCCAACATATGTGATATTTTTTATCGATGACTTTGACAGATGTTTTTAAAATATGCAAAGACATACCCCATCTGTCATTATTTAAAAAAAATATTGTCTTTGATAATTTATTGGCAAACAGATGTTTGTGTTTTGCTCACCTTTGAAAACCTTGAACATTGATTGTGTTCTTGTCCGAGTTTGTGGTGGCATGACTGGTCATGTGTTCCTCATGTGTGTACAATATAGACCAGTTTGATAACCAGAGATGTATTGAGCACCTGACTGAAAGATGTAACTCACAGTACTGTTGTTTGTGTAACATACAGTATATTATGTGGGATGTATTGTGAAGGAAAAATGTTAATTATCTATGTCATGGGGTTGGAGAGTATTTCCTTAACCATGCTCCGTAGGTGTTCATAACCGATTGGCTGTTACAGAAATAACTGCCCCTGTTTTGTTGGGGTGGTGGGGTAGCCTAATGGTTGATTCCCCACATGGGTACAATGTGTGAAACCCATTTCTGATATTCCCAGCGGTGATATTGCTGGAGTATTGCTAAAAGCGACGTAAAACCATACTCTCCCTCCCTGGTTGGTTGGTTGCCTTTCAGAAAGTATTTGGAAGCTCTTTTTCTACTACGTTGATCATGTACTTTTGTAATTGGGAATGTTTACAGTTTTATTAGAATCGATCAGTAACCACACCTATATTTTTGAGATAATTGTCTTTCACGTTGAAGGTCAAGGTCATAGCCTACAAGAAATTACCCCGAGATATTGCTGAGAATCTGATTAAGGTTGTTGGTTAATGAAATTTGGTACATTTTTTTAGGTGAGCTAAGAACGTTTTTCAGAAAGTATGCATGTTTTTTATTCAAGTTTTGTTTTTGTTTTTGTCATGGTGAGTTCTTTGATGGCCAGAGAAGACAATTTTATCATGTATACTTGTAAGTCATTTTCAATTGTCATCGTGATCTACTTTTATTGAAACCATGGCCAGTGTGTTGAGATATTTATGGTATCGTCGCCTTTCATCATGTTCATCTCAATAGGCTGTTGATCACTGGATTGTCTGGTCCAGACTTGATTATTTGCAGACTGTCGTCATATAGTGGAATACTGCTGAGTGTTACTATAGTCCTCGAGAAACACCAGGTGTTCATCAGATTCCTTTTAGTGGTATGTGGGGCGGTGGGGTAGCCTAGTGGTTAAAGCGTTGGCTCGTCACGCCGAAGACCCGGGTTCGAATCCCCACATGGGTACAATGTGTGAAGCCCATTTCTGGTGTCCCCTGCCACGATGTTGCTGGAATATTGCTAAAAGCGGCGTAAAACCAAACTCAGTCAGTCAGTTTAGTGGTATGTTCATATTGGCCAGAGAATGTTTACAGGGCAGTTCATTAGTTTATATTTATAGAGTTGGTTTCATTTGTACTATCTTAATCCATGAATATAGAGCATTTTATGTTATTTTATTGTTTTTTGCTTGTGGGTCGAAATCCACAAACCAAAGAATGAAGCTTTCTCCTCAATAACAGCTGGGTATGAGCAAACATGTTTTTGTGGAACAAGGCAAAATACCAGTTGTATAACCACTTTGCCAAAGTCAGATGGCATGCCTCTGTTGTGAGTCATTCCATTAGTATGTATAGTATTAGTCAACCCTCAGTATATAGTATCTGGCATTGGTCTTCTATCTTTGAGTGTGGTGGGGTAGTCTAGTGGTTAAAGCGTTGGCTCGTCACGCCGAAGGCCTGGGTTAGAATCCCCACATGGGTACAATGTGTGAAGCCCGTTTCTGGTGTCCCCTGACGTGATGTTGCTGGAATATTGCTAAAAGCGGCGTAAAACCAAACTCAGTCAGTCAGTCAGTCTTCTATCATTGGGTGCGGTGGGGTAGCCTAGTGGTTAAAGGTTTGATTCCCTACATCACTACAATGTGTGAAGCCCATGTCAGGTGTCCCCTGCCATGATATTACTGGAATAAAGGTAAAAGCAGCGTAAATACATAGTCACTCATCTATAATTGTAATAAATGAGATGCTCTATGTTACCTAAGATCTATAAATAGACATTATCTACAGCATCTGTTCAATGCCACCAGTTAGATGAAGGTTTACTGGTGGGGGTGAGGAGAGGTGGAGTGAGAGGGGGTTTAAAGATGAGTGAGAGGTTATCAGCGTTTAAAATTCCCGCCTGCCCCACCGTCCGGAACGGTCTATTTTCATTTGGACGGTCAAATTTCCAAAGTAGCCTGTCCTGTGGTCTGGTAGATGTTTTTACCCCTAACAGTAAATATTTCATAATATCAGACAGGTTCTCTTGTCGTCAGTTTGAGGTGTTTATGGTATTTTGATAATTATGTTAAACTATTTACGATTGGACAGTTCATTTTACAAAAGCCAATCACAACACGTACTTTCAGTTTACCTAAACTCGGTGCATTGCCTCACCCTATGTAGTTCATTGTGATGCTTGCAAACAGTAAGGTATTCAGAAACCTGAGTTTTGTTTTCATTGTTGAAAACTGGACAGGCAAGTTTGTATCCGGACTGGTAATTCTTTACTAGTCACCAGTCTGGCTGTCTGGCTTGGAATTTTGGGAGTTTTAAACACTGAGGTTATTGTACCTTCATGCATGAGTGTGTGTTTGCTTGTGTCTGCTTCTTCTAGTATGGACTTAAGTTGCTTTTATAGTGCTAGCTTCCCTAGATACCACAATTCAACATGGATGCTTCCAGCAATAGTCCTCGCTTCATCACTGAATGAAAAGTGCCAGGTTAACAACAAGTACCATTTTTTGGTATGACTGGTTGGGGATCAAACCTCGATCTGTCGCCCTCTGGGCAGACACTCTATCCACTGACCATCGTTTTGAGGATGTGGATGGAAAAGTAATGAAAGAATGGGTGGTTTGTTTGTTTGTTTGTTTGAAACAAACACTTGATCATGATGCTGGGTGGGTTGCTCAAACGCTTTTTATCACAATCTTTTGTTGGAAGTCATATTTCATTATACACCATTAAGGTAGATTGTTGAAGGAACTCATATATTACTAGACACCCTGTAGATAGTGTTGAAGACTATTTGATGTTTATGCTTTTAGCGTTTTATTTATGAGGGATGATGTATAGTATTAACTGTATTATAACCTTGCTTATTGAAATATGGCTGTGCTCTTGAAGAAACTTTCAATGCTTTTCACATACAAGGGTGCTCAAATATATTCATAGATTATTGGGGAGCATCTTCTACAATGTTCCTGTGTGTAGTATGTATGTTTTGTTTGTAAATTGCACTTCGAATTGCAGTCTTTTTAAGTCATATCTTTTACCCCGATACAATGTCTTGTGAAGATGGGACAATGTCTCCATAGGTTGTACAGAGCGTACTTTGAGGGAACTTTATCTCCCAGTTTAACACACTCCCATGCAGTGATGACTTAGCATAACATTACTGCCTGACTAATTTGCATATCATGTGAAGGGACTTGTAACAAACACGCTTATTTGTAAATCAGAAGAGACTGGCCTAGTGCAAGCATTTTGTGTGGTTTTCATATCCTTTAGCATAGCTATCTAGTAGGGGTGTCGCGATACGTGAATGTATCGATGCATCGATACATTTTTACTGACGATACGATATGCGATACATGCTTGCGTGTATCGATTCCTATTTTAAAACTTTATCGATTCAAATTTTTATGCTATATCCATCTCCTTCAAAGTCTTGATAGTAAAATTATACAAGACTGCTCCGATAAATAGATGTAGCTAGCTTTACTTAAAAATAGGTTGGAAACTAACAGCTTTTGTGATTGGCTAGACTATTTTGATGGACCAATCAGTGAGCGCGTACGTTGGTACGGTAATGCTATGAAAAGGCGCGAAAATTATGTATCGCGATACGTGTCGTATCGTGACCTTAAAATCGTGATACGTATCGTATCGTGAGATTGGTGAATCGTGACACCCCTGCTATCTATAGGTATTTTTCTGCAACTGCAACAGTAAGGTATATAAAATTTATACATCCAAGTGACTGTACTGCTCTCTGTCGGGCTTTGATGGCAGCATGTGAAGCCATACAACCCATGTAAACAAAGAATTGCTTCACAAATTGAAATAATGTTTCACATTTTAGGCTATTTTCTCAGTGACAAAAAAACCCCAATCTGTCACACATGTTTAATTAGATATGTGGACTTGTCAAAAATGAATCAGTTGAAAAACAAAAACAGTATATTAAACGGAAAAGGATGTGACAAATGCCACATTGCGACTGCCTGTGGCAGAGGTACTATGCTGGATGCATGGTATCCTTGGAGGAAAGGGTTCCTTACGTACCCCCCCCATGTTTTTGTGATGAGCAAACACTAGGGTTTAGTCTATAGTTTATAGTTAAATATTTAAGGTGGGAAGTATGTAAGGAACTTTTACCTCCTTGGATGTTCAAGGACGAACTAGCATATCGGTGTAAAAGATGTGGTATTAATAAGACTGTTTGCATTGCATATATCCGTGCTCTTTCATATGAGCGAAATATTCTCAAGCACGACATTAAACCCAATTTCACCTCACCTCACCCAGTAAGGGAGGGATAAAGAGAAATATGTTTCATATTCCTAAAGTATATCTGAATATTTGGACCCATGTTTGTAAAGCCAGTTCTACTGATAATGTATTTAACATGGCTAAGCCATCCCATTGTGTGCATAATAGACTTGAGGGGGTTCAAAATTAGAGTTACCTCCCTTCCATAAATGGCTTGCTTTTCATGGTGAAAATATATGTTAATGAACATGTTTCTTTTTTCAATAACTAATCTTTTCTAAAGTTTGTAGTTATTAAGTTTTACATCTTTTTGTTTGGGGGTAGCTCAAAACCTGCAGACACTTGCCATTTAAAGAATGAAGAATACTTGTCTGTTCCTACCATTTGCAATGATTTAGGATTGGTGTAATTTTTGTTATTTTACTCATAGTTGAATGGTGTTTTTTACAGATCATGTTTTGAATTGTCTCACCAGAGCATTGTAATTTTTGTAATGAAAACGGTGAAAATACGACAAATTTAGGCCAGAAATATTTTTTGGTAAAATTTCATGTTTTGATTTTGATAGTGAAATATTTGGTCACAAGTTAAACAAATATTTGTTTGTGCAGAATGTGTTAGTCATTTGATATGGTTGTGTAGTTGATGAAAGAGTAGTCTTGTTTACGTCCTAAATATCATAGATATAACATCTAAATGTAATGACAATTTATCAGAGGATGTTTGGTGTCATATTACAAGCCATGGATTACTTTCAGTATCCACATGATCTTGTCATTCTGATTGTTGTTTTCTGAATTTTGTGTTTCTTTTCAGATAGTAGATCCATAAACCAAACAAAAAATAATGTTAAAAAGAAATATATGATTTTTCACATCATCATCATCAATAAGTGAAATTTCCAATGAAAACAACTTCATGTATTTCTTGTTTATGTTTGAGTAAAATGTTTATTCAATGTCTTGACAGTCATGTGCTATGTAATCACTTCATTTTACAACTGTGGGGTCATATACCATATAGATAGTTGGGATTGTACTATACTTACTGCTTTTTTGAGGGTCCTGTTGCCATGGTTACCATTATATTTTTGTATTAGTTTGTTTGCATTTTGAGAGAAAAGCATTTCTACTTCATTGAATGTGAGATGTTGATTTCAGTGCAATAATGTCCTATATTGTAAACATTGTATCAGGAGTTTCCTAGTTGGTGTTTATGAAGCCATCCCATTACTATTGTGATATATTTGTTTGTGTTGTTTTCTTGTTCTGACAAATACTGTTG